AAAAAAAAAAAAAAAAAATAGTATCTTGTGAGAAACTGAGTAATAAAATAATGTACATATGCAGCAGAAATATGCTTGTCTATATTACAAAGGAATTTGGGTATCTAAGGCAGGAAGCCTCTCATCTGAGCGGTAAGACCAGAGCGTAAAATGGGGCACCTGGGTGGCTCAGTCAGTTAAGCGTTCGAGTTTGGCTCAGGTCATGATCTCACGGTCTGTGAGTTCGAACCCTGCGTCGGGCTCTGCAGACAGCTCAGAGCCTGGCGCCTGTTTTGGATTCTGTGTCTTCCTCCCTCTCTCTCTGCCACTCCCCCGCTCATGCTCTCTCTCTTGCTCTCAAAAGCAAACAAACAAGCAAACAAAACTTTAAAGACCAGAGTGTAAAATCTCTTAAATCACACTCCTCTCTGCCTCCTAATTCCAATCAGAAATACCTGACAGGCTGTCCCTGATTGTCATTTAAGAACCATTAAAAAAAACAAGGTTAAAAGCACTAAACAAAAAAGGGGAGTCCACTTAAGGCCAGTGTGGAGAAGAGATTACCTGAACAAACTTGAAGATCGCGAAGGCTGGAGCGCTGTCTTCCGAATAGAGAAACCCTAAGATGCTGAGCAGCTGGGTATTGAAGCAGCTGTCCCCAAGACCCAACAGGAAACTGCAGAAGATAGCGACCTCTTTGCTGCATAAAAGGAAAATGGATCCAGAATGAGCGTTCTGACCATACTTGCTGGAGCCATTTCAAGTGGAAAAGCCACTGCCCCACAAGAGCATCTCACTTTCAAGTTTTATGCACTATGGGACAAGAAGTAAATACCGGAGTCCCCAGAGTAAGAATTTATGCTCAGACACGCTCAACTTCAGGGTCTGGCAAACGCTGGTCAATTAACTCTTTGGGAGCAAACACTGTGTTTGGGCAGGGCCGGCCTTGGATGGTGGATCTGGACCCAAATGTCTACATCTACAATGAATCTGAGTTGATGGCAATACAGTAAGATCCTCAAAACGGACAAAACCAGCTATGCACGGACCGGACGGCCCACCCGGCTGGCCGATTACCCTTCTCCTCACCACTCTTCACCACTCAGAAAGCAGACACATGAAATCACATCAGGTACTTATAGGCTCTTTCACAGATCAAGAAAAACATTTAGGTGCGTTGAAAGGTTAAAACCGACCATTTCAAAAAGAACTTGGGATTCTTCCTATGAGCTCCTGTTTAAACTAATTCTGGTTCACCATTTGACAGGTCACCTTATAAAGATAACAGATTTTCAGATCATGATTAACTTCTCCATTTTATAAATATCTAGCCACCCGTGACCTGCCACCCTTCCTTGAATTACCAGAAAAATGACAGTCATTGCGTGCCTGGGTGGCTCAGCTGGTTCAGCGGCTGACTTTGGCTCAGGTCATGATCTCGACGTTCGTGAGTTCAAGCCCCTTGACCGGCTCCGTGCTGAGGGCTCAGAGCCCGGAGCCTGCCTCGATTCCTGTGTCTCCCTCTCTCTTTCTGCCCCTCCCCCACTTGCCCTCTGTCTCTCTCTCTCTCAGAAATAAACAAACATTAAAAAAAGGGGCGCCTCGGTGGCTCAGTCGGTTAAGCGGCTGACTTCGGCTCAGGTCATGATCTCACGGTCTGTGGGTTCGAGCCCCGCGTCGGGCTCTGTGCTGACAGCTCAGAGCCTGGAGCCTGTTTCCAATTCTGTGTCTCCCTCTCTCTCTGCCCCTCCCCCGTTCATGCTCTGTCTCTCTGTGTCTCAAAAATAAATAAATGTTAAAAAAAAAAAAATTAAAACAAAAAAAATAAAATAAATAAAAAATAAATAAATAAAATGACAGTCACCATACCTGGATCTGATGTAAGCAGTACTATCCGTTCCTTCGACAGGAGCAATAGGGGCGTCCCCAGGCATGTTGAGAAATATCAAATAAAAAGCTATAAAATGCACCAGGATGCCCAACAACACAACCGGATTTCTACCAAAGCGATTATTCTTGCTCAGCAGGCCAAAGAGGCTTCCACCTACGGAGCCAATGACGTAGAGAACAGAAAAATTTAGTAAGTCAAAATTCTAATTCTTTGAAAAAAATAAACCGATAAACCAACAGCCCAGTTAACGAAGGGGTAAAGAAAGCACGGATACTAAAAATAAAAAATAACCGTTGAAACAGAAGAAATTTTAAACGTCAGAACCGACTTCTAGGTCAGTGAGGTAACAGGGAGTACATTTAACACCTGCCTAAAAAAATCCGAAGTAATAATTTTGAAGACACAAGCTATGAGGTGACAAAGGGGCAGTGATCTCCGAGATGGGGGAGGAAGCAAAGGAGGTGAGGCCGGCTACTGCCCACCGGCTGGTCGAGAGAGAGGTTTAAGCTGGGCTGCAGGGAGGGGTGGGGAAGGCAGGTGGATCCCACAGCCTCCCCGAGAGGAGGAGACCAGAGCTCAGGGTCTGGGGATACATGGGTGGCTATGGAGTTCCAGAACAGGTTATCATTAGGGAAAGCTGCCCAGAGGGACGACTCCAGAGACCTACAGAGGGTCCCCCCTGAGTCTTCCCTAAGTGCCGATCAGCACATAATGTGAGTAAATTAGCAGAGGCCCGCAAGAGAACCATCCAGGAGGGTTAGATGTATTAGCGCCCCGCCCTGGGCCACGAATAGTGCCTCGTCCCCCCAGCCAGACAGGAAATCTTATGACTCACAGGCACTGGGTGTACACAGAAAGGTCTTCCCTCAGGAGCGAGGAATAATTAGCCCTCGTCTGAGCCCTGCTCTGGTCCTGTCCAACAAACCTTAAAAGCAAGCCCTGAAAAAGTCATACTGTTTCCAAGTAAACGAACTGTAGCCAAGAACAAAGCTCGAGAATATTCACGAGAATAAAAAAACAGGCAGCACCCCACACGGTTAAGTTCACAGAGTCTGGTGTCCCCACTGTCCCCAAGCAAAGAGGCATGAAAACAGGACCCGTCATGAGGAGAAAAAGCAGTCGGACGTGGCGCTGTTATACGACCCAGCAATTCCAGTCCTAGTTACATACCCCAGGGAATTGAAAACGTTATGTTCACACAAAAAGTATACATACATGTTCACGGCGGTATTATTTAGAACGGCCAAAAATGTGGAAACCCAAATGTCCATCGAATGATGAATGGATAAGTAAAATGTGATCTATCTATGCAACGAAATATTACCTAGTGAGAAAAAAAGGATGGAATACTGATATGTGCTAGAATGTGGAAGAACCTTGGAAACGTCCTGCGAAATGAAAGAAGCCAGACCCAAAACACCATACGTTCTATGATTCCATTTCCATGAAGCGTCCCGAATAAGCAAACGTATAGAGAAAGGGGCTTAGTGGTTGCCTGGAGGAGGGCAATAAGAATGTTCTAGAGTTAGAGGGTAGTGATGACTGTACACCTCTGTGAACATACTAGAAAATACTGCCCTGGACGCCTTAAGTGGGGGACATATATGGCATGTGAATTATATCTCAAGAAAGTTGTGTAAAAAACAAAACAAAACCAAAAAAACCACCCCAGAACCGTCACAGATACTAGGATGAGCAGAAACATGAAAACAATTCATAGAACTGTATTCCCCATGTTCAAATACATCTAAATACCTGGTACTGTTCTAGGTGTGGGCAGCAAAGCAGGAAACAAAAAAACACTCAAGTCTGCTCTCTCCATAGCGTGATCCCCGTTGGCCATTCGAAGGGTCCTGTGTTTTTTTATGGTCTGTGTCTTTCCCCAAGGCCCTAAGTTTCACGTGGACGGGAAGTCTTTTATTCGTACAGTGGACGCACAGTTATCTGATGAATCTGGGAAGTTCCTCGTACGTGACAACGTCTGATACACGGGTGAAGGTCTCCAACGACCTTTGCCCGATACGGAATAGCCGCACTTGTGACGGGCACCGGGGAGCTGAAGGGAAGTGTTCAGCCCCTACAGTGTACTCCTGAGACGAGTGTGACACTGGATGTTAACTAACTGGAATTGGAAAATATATATAAAAAGAGGAATCCCTAGTGTGGCCCAGGAAAAACACACACTGGTCTTTGCCTTGTTCCCCCTTCCTCCCCGCTTCCTGGCACAGAGCTCCTAGAACCCTGTGGCTTTCCTCGGTGTCAGGCACGTTTTTCGTTTGTGCTCCCTCGTACCTCCCTTTTGACCGGACCAGAGCTTATGCGAATGAGTTGGTTCTTCAGGGGGTTTAGGGGTGGTGTAGCTAGCCGGCTTCAGGATGCCCGCTGGCTGCCAGAAGGACCAAGACTTGATCTGAGGGTTGGAATTTTCAGAGCCAGCCCCCAAGCTCAGGGCAGGTGAGGGGGGGTTGGAGATCCACTTCGATCGCCATTGGCCGATGATATCATCAACCCTGCCTCGCTGATGAAAAGTCATAAACACCCCTCAACGACAGGTTTGGGAAAGCTAGCCTGGTTGGCTGGTGGACGCATCCACGTACTGAGAGGGTAATGTACCCTGACTCCATGGGGACCGAGGTTCCCATGCTCAGAACCCTCCTGGACTTTGCCCCATGTGCCTCCTCATCTGGCTGTTCATTTGTATCCTTTATAAAAAGCTTTAACAGTAAGTACAGCATTTTCCTGGGGGCTCATGGGAACCTCCCAACTCATAGCCAAGTCAGACAGAAGTGCAGGTAGGTAGCCTGGGGACCTGGGACTTACAAGTGGCGTCTGAAGTGAGGGCGTCTTTGCGGGACTGAGCCCTCGGACCTGGGGAGTCGGACGCAAACTCTGGTACTTAAGAGTTAGAAGTGAATGATCTTGCCGGACATCCAGCTGGTGTCAGATTCAGAAGGACAAGAAAGTCAGGGATTCCGAGACATTTTCCCGAAGTGTCTTAAGAGAAGAAGCTGGGAGAGACTGGATGTGTTTTCCTATTTAGGGTTCTGTCTGTGAATCACATGGCAACTGCCTCGTTTTAGAACAATGATAATAAAAAAACAAGGACATACCGATGTGAGTAGAACTAAGCAAGGAAACTAAAACACGAAGACAAGGAAGTGAATGAAATACACTTACAGTATCTCTGATGACTACAACCAACGGGTTTAATGCGAAAACCCACAGTTTTAAACCAACCTAAAATTTCTCCAATGCCAATGAAAATGCCAGAAAGTCCAATGAGGCTTTTCTCTTCTGTCCCAAATTTATTTACAGCACCAATACACGTTCCGTAGACACCAGAGAAGAAAGTCAATTCCAGACCTTTGGAGGAAAAAAATCAGATTTAGTTACACATCTACAACCTCCGTTTCCTGGTTTTCTCCGCGGCTGGTGGTATTTGAGCTATATATATATATACGATAAAGTTCCCTCGGGGGACGGGTTACTCCCCCGTAGAGCCACAGAGCTAATGCAACGGAATTAGATGTTTAATATTTATTCTATTTCTCCGAAAAAGATGTTTATACGTACAATGCACATAAAGGCAAAACTAATCACTGGCACATTGCAGCAT